GTACCAGTACAGAGTTTATAAGTTAGATTTCTGCTCCTACAATTTCCACATCTTTCGATTTTCGTGATCTGTTAAAGGGGAGGTTGATGTGTATCGTGTTATGTCCAAACATAGTTCAGATCACTATGTGCTTTTTTGTCACTATCCCTTGTCATATCTTGCCATCATGAAGTTGATGCATACAAGGACAGATTCCCCACAATTTGACACTACTTAAAGAAGTAAAGGTTAATGTAAGTCTTGGAACACGCAGGTAGATGAATCACTGCGTAAAATATGTCACTATCAACAGAATGTGCTGCAGCATCACTACCTTTTAGACAACCAAGTTGTAATATTCATCTGCGGTAATGAACAGCTAGTACCAGGCAGACACGGTTGTCCAGTGGTTAGCATGATGGACTCCAGATCATACAGTTTGGGTTTAGGCCCTGGTTGGGAACATTGTATTGTGTTCTTGGGCATAACACTTAACACCCACAGTCCCTCCCTTCTCCCAAGTGTGTGAATGGGTACCAGCCAATTTAATGCTGTATAGTAACCCTGGGATGGACTAGTATCCCATCTGGAGGGGAGAGAACAAATACTCCTGGTAGTGTAATGCTGTAGAAACCAGGTTTAACTTTAAAAAGATGGAACATGCAAGCCTGTGCAGACTTTACCTTAACCAATGAACAGTTTGCATATGTTGTGTTACCAGGTTTATGATGTCTCAAGCTATGTATCAATTCATCCCGGGGGGAAAGCGATTCTAAGAAATGTGGGAGGAGACGCCACACAGGGATTTCAACAACAGGCTGCCCACAGAGTCGTAAAGAACCACATTGCATCTTTGCTGGAGAAGTTCTACATTGGTCGCATATCACCAGGACAGGAATGTTCGAAAACTGGTTAATGCTAATCCAGGATTAAAAGCGGATTGTGCTCTTAATTTAATCTGTCAGTTGATAATGTTTTCTATGGTTTTCTAAACTTTGAATTCATAGATTATAGTCATCAGTTAGGTGTCCACTGAGGGGAACATCCCTCTGTTAGGAAATTTTGACACAATAATAAAGCTTATAATATTTTTTTATTATCATATTGATGTTGCACAAAGTCAACATTAAGGACAAAAGAAAATAGACAAAAAGTCGCTGAAAAGATACAGAAAAATTAAAATCCAAATTCAGTGTAATCCTGGATTAGCTTTATAGTATTTTGAACAGTCAATCCCGGCAGAAGAGGAATATTGTGAAACAAAGTTATCAGGGTATGTTTAGTTCCAAAATTTAGGCCATTTGTGACTTGTGGTTTTGTTGACCATACAGCTGTAGTAAATCAATAAAATCCAATATTGGAAAATTCAATTGATTCAGTTGATATCAATTGCTGATTGCTATCGATTGATAAACATCGCTAACATTCAATAATTCCTGTCTCCAGGAATATTGATTATTATTGCATTGTGTTTTATGAGAACATGAAACATAGAAAAAAGCTTCTTCTTTTACATGCATTGTTCCTGGTCAGTATTTATAGCAGCAAAGTGATTACTGCTATGCTACTAGATCATATATTCCCTCTGACTTACACTGAGATCTATTCTTACATTTGTTCCCTAGAACAGTGACTCTTGTTTATTTTGCTTCATCTAAAATGGCGATGCTACAATGAGACTGGAGGTTTTTACACTGCTACTCTGGCTTGAGCTTCTTCTGGTGTCGTAAAACTAGCAAATAAGGATGTAAAGCCTGAAATGTTTCTTTTAGTTTGTTTCTGTTCTTGTTATTTTGTTGATGATTGTAAAAGATATGCAGGCTATGATAAAATGACTCTTTAAACCACTGCAGAAAAATGTTGTAAATCACTTTATTGGTGTAGCTTGTAAAAGGACAAAAACAATTTTTGATTTTCCCCCTACCCTATTTATGATCTGACCAAAAATTCAATACCCTATTTAAGACCATTGCAGCTGGCACAGTTACCATTGACATAATTTATAAAGAACTTTTGTTGATGGTCTTATCGATAATGATGAAAAAGTAGACCCGTCTATAAAAACATACCCAATTCAAGACTAGAGTGCAAAAACAATACCCTATTTATGACCAAATGGCCAAATTCGATACCCTATGTATGACCAAAACAGCTGAAAAACCATACTCTTTGGGGCCACACATACCTCCATAGCCCAGATATGGGAGTACCCCCCCCCCCTGGGAACAAACAATACCAATTGATGAATCCATTGTTATGGATTACTATCGGCAATCAATAACAAGCAAACTCACAACTTTTTTCTTCTTTGATTTTCATCGATTGCTATCGGCAGTTGATATCAATCTTCGATCTTCAATTGATATCGATTGTTATTACATAGAAACAGTGTTTTAAAATTATCAGCATGTCTATACAATAAACAGAATAATACATGATTGGTTGTAGATATGGAATACCTCTTCTCGTGTTCACTCAAAGAGATATTTCATATCTATGTGCGCCCATGTACTATCCTCTGTTTATCGATTGACTATGCCTGGATATACATAATGGTCAGAATGGTAGCTAACTTCTGTGTGTAGGCTTTTGTACATTATGCTAGCATTTTTTGGAGCATTTTAGTGAGGCAAAAGCATTAAGCATAATTCAAGCATTTTAGTGGCATTTTCCTGGAAAATTGTCTTTTTTTCTAGGTACAGAAAATAGAAATAAAAATCACTTTTTACAAGAAAATGAAGACTTAACTTGAAATTGAAAAAAATTGAAATGCCACCCTAATACAGCCGAGTGCGAGTGGAGACTGAGGAGAGATCAGCAGTAGTCAAATCAAATTAGAAGATAACTATTATATACGTTGAGTTATACTACGTATACGTTTATTTAAGCACCCTGAGCTGTTAATTGTGTTAAAACGTTAAAACTTTTAAAATTAAACAAACTCTATGTATGAGCACATGGTGATGGTCAAGATCATGGCAATCTCGTTCCCAGAGCCCACATGTCTTTTGGTCAGCGCCAACCAAAGGACACGTGGGCTCTGGGAACGAGATTGAGATCATGGTCTCTTGATGAGCATGCGCATCAACTGAGCATTTTAGTGACTTTTTGGACATTCTTGTCCCCAGAGCCCATGATCCTTCTGGCCTGCGGCAGGGATCGAGGGCTCTGGCCAGACCCGATTTTCTGGGTATGCGCAGAGTGTTCGTTTCGTATTCTTAGCCAATCAGATTTGCCAAATTTGACGGGAAGTCCGTGAATCGCGGACTTCCGATGTTGGACCAGCCCAGAGCTCTCGATCCCTGCCGCAGGCCAGAAGGATCGTGGGCTCTGGGGACGAGAATGCTTTTTGGAGGGAAACACCGAGTATTTTAGTGGGAGTAATGGAGCACTATTAAAGGTGGAGCATTTTGGTGGGGAAATGTACGCATTAAATGTACAAAAGCCTATCTACGTGACATAAGATACAAAAGGTCTAGGGAACGCAATCACACCGCAACATATGAATACATACATAAATCCACCGGAACTAGGGGTAAACCCGTGGGGAGGGGAGGAGGGGGTAAATCAGAGTAGAATCCCGCAGGATAGCTGGATTCTTCACAGCCCTCTGTTTTCTCGTATTTTTATTCGAACTTTGAACGCGCAGAGAGAATCGCGAGAAAACTGCTGTGAACAATTTACAGGAGAGGTCGAGAGCTTACCACTTAAGGAACTTGTTTACCTCCTTGAACGTTTTGAATCGACTTGAAACCTATAATTTTCCACTCGACTCGTATCCGCATATTTTCATGCTTGCTGAACAACAAATAGATAATTCTTTGTTGTCACACAAGCGTGAAAAGATTTTATTTCCGGTTCTAATTATGTAATTCGTGCCGTGTAAAAATCACCTTGGCCTAGTCACGTTTCTTTCCATCATTCCATGGTCCCCTCATAAAAATCTGTGCCCAGAGGGTCTTCACATTTTATTTGCTACCCACCAAGTTACCCATGGGGCAATAATTTTAGTGACCTTAACAACGGAAAATATAGACATTCTACCACGAGGCTGTGATCCGGTAGAAAAACTCGGGAAAACCGCCTGACAAAACGTCAGGCCGCGAGTTTTGCTGTTTGGACTTGCGCAAGTCCAAACAGCAAAACTCGCCAAGAAAAACGTAGAATTTGTTCGTGAGGATTTACTTTTTGACTTGCGTCAGAAACATTTCCTATCTTTACTACTGAAGCATACGTTTCCCGCGCGACATATGTTTAAGGAAGTACTTGTTTCTCAGGTTGATCCTTCGCAGGCCGTCACGCAAACTTTTTGCTCACGTTGCGTGACGACTCAAGCTGTGCGCAGGGAAAAAAACTACATTTTTTTTTAACCCTTACAGAGTTCTTCTCCATCGTTTTTTCAACACAAAACAGAAGCATTAAGAGCTAACTTGCATATTTTTCGTAATTTTTTTGGCTGAAATAGATACGCGCCAGTCAGTGAAATTGATCGATTGTGTTGCGTCAGCTGAGTGGGCTTTTCCCTTCCAACCAATTAGAGAATGCGCCTTTGATTACGTCAGAGGCACGTGCTGGACGCGATGTAAACATTGTAGTTAACCCGGTTGTTCGAGGCTGAACATTTCACTTTCCCTCTTCCCATGGTCGAAAATCTTCAGGCTAAAGAAGAACCATGATCGAGAAAATTACTTCTCAGTCAACTGGCAAAGATGATAACTCAAAAAGCCTTTGGATATTTGGCTACGGGTCCCTGATTTGGAAGCCCGATTTTCCGTTCGAACATTGCGTAGTTGGCCATATCGACGGGTTTGCTCGGCGATTTTGGCAGGGTAGCACTTGGCATCGCGGCAATGCCCAAGAGGTACACTATACACTGCTTTAATTTTAATTTGTGGCTCTGCATCTAGAAGGTCGCATATATTTGAAATCATATACATCTGACCCCGCGTTATTTTTTGCTTTCAGCCTGGGCGAGTTGTCACCCTGGTTGAGGAAACACAGGTATGTTTGGACCAGTTTTTGTCATGTGAGGTCTACTTTGCGATCTCGTGAAGCTTTACTTTGTCAAGGGTAAATTCTCGTAAGTTCTTACATAATAGGGAGCGGCAAGAGATACGAGAGCGTGACCAAAGGGTTTGATGAACAGTACAATCGTTATGCACGTGCAGGAAATTGTATATTTCATAGCCGTCCTCTCCAAGTGACTAATTTTTCGTACTCCCCTTTGGAACGGAAACCTGTTATTACACGTTTATATGGCTTGAGCGGGTTTTAAGACCGATCGGTGCACGGAGCGGTTAATTGCGAAATTCGAAGGTGAAATATGTTAAAATCCATTCTTACAAACAGGAACGACTCCTGAGGGACTCTCGTTTAATTAATTCTACCAATAATCAAAATACGCACACAATTCAGATCGTGTTGACTTGGTTGGCTGGTGTCAATTTTGACCACAGTGATTTTATTACTGTGTGGCACGTAATAACAGCAGTTTCTTGTTAATTTCGAGGAGGATCTGCAACGAAGCAAACCTCTTTTAACCCTGATACATAGGTGTAGAATGTGAGAAATTTTGTACAACTGGTAAACAATGTCTGGTATAGATCTAACAATGGACTTACAAAGTTACCCTCTCCTTTCTTCTTTCTGAAGCGAAAAACCCGTGATGGCCAACGAATAAAGTCAAAACTGTAAACAACTTGGCCTTGCTTTCTCAAGAATTCTATCAGTCGATTTATTCAAGTTTTGAGTTAAATAAGAAGCGAAAGGTACACTCCAGGTTATATTAGTATTGCACAAGTGGATTGCACAAACTCAAATTTGCAAGCTTTGATGGTAATTTGTAGAGAGCAACAAGCGTTGTTTATATGCTACAGCATTGGAGTTATTTCAGCCACAATAAAGCCTCTTTCAACAAGGAAGTAAAATATTTTTACATGAGCGACCGCATGTTGGTTCCATTGTTTCAAACAACCTGCTAGATTATGAAATCTTCAGAACGTTCATGAAGACAGTCCAAAGTCCGACTCATCAGTTTTGCTGTTGTTTTGGTTCAATCGGCCTTAAAATTGATTCCTTGTCTTGCGCTTGTTTTCTTGTAAGCCATCTAATGTTGAGAAAACCTTACTAGAAGGAAGCTTAATTTACACCGAAACAAAGTTGGCAGTACAAGTCTAATAAAAAAGAGGCTAATTGCCTACTTGCATAATATCGAGGAAAACTCTCTTGTTCTGTCATGAAAAGTTAATTTCAGCGAAATGTTTTCGTATGTAAATTAACACTGTGGTCTTAGTGGGTTTAGAGGGTTTACTTTGAAAGCATGAAAACATCACTGAAGTGCCTTTTCGTTGAGTTTTTATGTAAAAGTTTAAAAAAGAAAATAAAACTCCTTTCTTTCAAAGTCAAGGATAAGCGGCACTTTAATCGGATGAACAGTAATACAAATTCGTTAAGTAAAAACAAGGTTCAGAAACTCTGCTTTTTGCACACGTCCCGGCATTTTCAGTTGATTTAATATCCCTTGGAAGTTTCATCCAGTCCTGAAAATAAATTCCGAGGTTTCTCAAGCAAGGTCCCTTTTTGTAAGGATACAGAATGGCCGTTTGTATTCTAGACGCATTATTAGTCTTCAACAACTTTTTTGATGGAAGGAATAGCGGGTCAGTTTAAAAAATACGAGGAAAACTTGGTGATGTGATTAAGATTTAAACCCACTAATAATGCATTATTGATAGTTCAAAAACAAAAACAAAAAATGCAACCATTCTTGCCAACGTTTGCCATGCTGTACTTTCTAGAACTGTATTTCTTTCGAAGGAACAGTTTCATACACGCTGCGGGTCAGTTCTTTGACTACTTACACAAGCATCACCCACTGCCCAACAAGTTCTTTCAAAAGCTATTTTCACGATTGACTTTTCTTGTTTGCATTACATAACAATATTATCCAGCACTGTAACCACGTTGGATTAGATTGTCATGAAAATGAGAAAAGTTAAGCGTGAAAAGGGTTGTGAAAAAAAGAAAACACCCAACTTTTTGTTAAATTGTGTTCAGTCTTGTCTGTTTTGACGGAACCAATATAAAATCGAGAGGAACTGTGTGAGACCCTTTCCACTCTTCACCGGAGGAATTAACATGTAAAATCGCAACAATGACCAGTCTGTTTGGATTTGTCTTTGAGAAAATCTCGGTCAGGAAAATCACATGATCGTTGTGACTACATCGTTTGCGGAAAGCTCCGTATAATTTCAAAATGTTTTCCGTCCAAAAGAAAACGAAAAGCCGGCGTTTTCAAATTCCTCCGGTTTGAAGAGCGTTTCCGAAAAGCTCTGTTTTCGTGACGGATTATAATAGTGTGGACGGAATGCCTAACAGTAGAAATAAAGCTGCGTTTTCATATTTCTCCGGCGTGGTGTGGACGCTGCTTTAAAATCGATGCGTGTTAGAAACCAGATTGCCGTTAGGACTAAATATACCTATGATTTCTTTCTCTACAGGGGCGCGTTTGGGGTATTGCATTTAAAGTGGCTAAAGAAAACGCCGATCGTGCCATGGGAAAACTGAACGAACGGGAAATCGCTCTAGGCGGCTACGAACTTCGTCGTTTGCGCTTCAACTGTAACGAGAAACCCTCGCACAGCTTCAATGTGCTGGTATACGCCGCTACTCCGAAAAACTCGCTCTTCCAAGGGCCAGCTACGTTGGAAGACATTGCGGTTCAAATTGCCTCTGCCCGCGGACATGCTGGGTGCAATGTGGAGTATCTTATTCGACTGGCAGATTTCATGAGGGAAAAAGTTCCCGATTTCGACGAGGAACATTTGTTTGAATTGGAGAAGTTGGTCAGAAAAGAGCTTGGACTGTCGACAGAGGTGTGTACGCCTTGGACACAATTGAAACACACGTTGATTAAGTGAGACTGAAAACCGCAGCTAAATCGCAGCTAAACCGCGGAGGGTGTCGCTGCTGTCGTTGAACTGTGTAAATAGTTAAATCCCAGAG